GCGTAATTAATTTGGCCACATGTTGCCAATACTTTTTGCCGGTTAATTTTGCAAATTTTCCAACAAATTATTTAAAAACTTTGTTTGTCTAATTTTAATCAATAAAACATGATTATAATCGAAAACTACATTATATTTGCTAAATGCGAACAGATTTTTATGCATATTGTATAATGCATTCCAAGGTTACAGCCAATTTTATTTAGCTGGCGTGGGGGTTGCCAATACTTTTTCCATTGACTGTATGTATGTTATCCATTAAGTCTCAATTTGCCTCACAAATAGGGGGTATGGAGAATAACGCTACATATTGTATTTCAACACATGGTATTTCACGTGTTCAAAAATCGCCACACAAAAACATACCGACAGACATATGACCAACATGATGAAAACTGTTTGAATACTGTCGCCCAGCTGGACCGCTTTAAAGGGCGTTGTATGCAGAAATTCTTCGCCTCTCGCCTTAGCCTTTCTTTCACGAAGCAGCGTCGCATTGATGTTAACCATATCAGAAACGTGACGATAAATTCCCGCTTCCATAAACAATTTGACAAATAGAATCATCCTTGATTCTCGCCAAACATTGAAGGACAATCCGATCGAACAATGAAGCATGGTTTGGTGGACGCGATACTAGTTTTTGGTGGGGTAATGTCTATTCAGATATTCGTAGTAGGAATCGATCTCCCTTTTAGCTCCGATATATGCGGATTTGTCGCACTGTAAAACTTCCTCTTCGACAAGATTGTTTACCTCGGAGGGAGTTATTTTATCCCGTAAAAATCTCAGCTTGTCTGGAAACCACCGTATCCTTGGGTTACAGTGAGAATGCCACATACGTTCTTTGCCGGTAGGAAATTTGATAGTTTGATACAAGAAATTGGAGTAAACCTTTGAGAATTTGTAACTCTTCAGGGAAAACTCGCTTGAACGAAATGGTGCGAATTCAGGCGGCGTTCAGAAAGGCGTTTCACGGTAGGGTGAGCGGCAAAGTTTGAAAGGTTCTCGGCAAGCTCAAGCATTCCCAGGTCATTTCTGTGCATCAGTTTCGCCACATCCAATTCAATTTTAGGCTTATCTTGACAAGCAATTTTTTTGATTAGTATCGAACCTTTCCCCGGGAAAGGGTGAGTTTAAATTGGTAATACAAATACTTAGGTAACAATTACTGAGCAACATTCTGACCAAAAGCCAGGGAATACTTAAGACTTTGAATGAAAGCAAAGTGCTCAATTTTGCCGGGACGGTGCTCACTTCGTCGACTAGACTTGCGTAAAAGTAGAGAAAAATTGTTATCGGGTAGATTTTTCTGGTTAGCGCGTAAAATCCGAGTGATAAGAGGAAAGTGGATAAGTAAAGCAGGATGACGGCAACAATCCACATCATGGGTTTGAAGGGTAGTAAGTACAAGGAAAAGGTGACTCCACCCGATACCTCGTAACACGAGAAGAAATAAATGCCTGGAAAAGTTGTTACAACATTTTGATTCTCGACAATGGCATAGATCAGATCTTCGTGATTAAAATGCGGGTAGAGACAAGTTTCGGTAAGGATGGGATGTCGGCATTGGCCATACGTTTCAATATGACTGGTCGCATTCAGTTTGCTGAATGCTATGCCAATTAAAATGAGTGATAATTGAGTCTTTCTAATAACACTCAAGGTTTCATCTATCCAATTAAATTCTGAAGATGGCGGGTAGTTGAATTGATTGAACAATGATGTATATCCTCCCGCAGATTGGATGGAAAAGCAGGAAAACTCTTGTAAAAAACTGGCGGACTCACAATACCTTTTTGGTGACATAGTAGCAGTCTATCTTCAGGAAGGAACAAAATAGCGGACAATTTGACGGGTAGTTGTTTCTCACTGGTGTAGGGTTGCGTGTACAGGGGTGAGGTAGGATTTGACAACAATACGTCTGCGTTGCTCGGAATTAAAAGGAAGTAGAAATTATCCGGGTAAATGTTCAAATTGACTTTGTAATTTAGTCTGAAGTAGTATCTGCCCTGTGTCGTGATCCAGTATCCCAACTGTGCTTGGTCAGATTTCGTAAAATTTGATGTAACGAAAAGAATCACAATTTCGCAGAGCCACCCTTTATTGCGGAGGATTTCAAGTTGGAATGATTTTACGGTTTTGGAAGTTTCCGCGTAGAAGTATTTATTAAAACGTTCAGACAAAGATCGTTTGTGCAGTGTGAGGGGAATATTGCGGGTAGTTGGAAGCTCGGAGGTGGAAAGTTTGTTGAAGACGAGGTTATACCGACAAGGAGTGTGCGGTATTAAAACGGAGGCTAAATTTACGGTAGATGCTGCTAATACAAAGGTGTAATGTAGCATGTAGCACGATTAAAGTACGGGTGTAGATCGATTTCGGCAGTTTTCAGGTGCTCAGAAATTTACACAAGAATTTTCCTTTTTTATTAAAGAAACTGTTAGGTTGCATTAGCGTGTACTTACGGTTGTGGAGGATATAATATACGATGTAGTGAATTCAGATTAAACTGCATGTTTTCTTGCACACGAAATAAAGATCAGACAAAGAATTGTTCGTTTCCAAAATCGAGACGAAGATAATTATCATAATATCGCGTGTGGTAAATGGTAAATAGATTAATTCATAATTATACATAATTCATTCAAGGTATGCATGTACATATGTATGTACGTAGTCCAGTCTATTAAATAGTTAAGAACGCCAAGGTAATAGATACTCAATTTTGTAGTACACGTGCACCTATCTTTACTAATTACCAACATATACACATACATACATAAATGTGCATGTGTATGGTAAAGAAATAAAATTATGTTTCATTTGTTCGGTAGGAATTTAATTTATGCAAATTGTCGGTAATCGAAGTCCAATTCCAAATCGAAACTCCATTGATGTGAGGGTAAATATACCATCGCATCAAAGTTTAAAACTAACTATTTAATGTGGTATCAGTACCTAAATGATACCACAAACCATAGGCTTCTCGTGCGTCAGTACTTTGCCAACTTATGCATGTACATATATACTTCCCTGTATTTATTGCGACTAAAATAATCGCCATTGTAAATATGTACTAACGGGATATTAAATTTTCTGAATATTATTATTTCGAAAACCTTTCTATGCATAATTAATCAGTTATAATGGAAATGTATAAATTTCATATTTCCTAAGTAAAATTTCAAAGTGTAAGAATATAATTGACGGAAACAACATTTAATGAGATTACACTAGTACGTATTAATTTATTATTAGTAACGCATGTATCAGAAAGGATGAGACACAATTATGTACACGAAATGCATACTTTGAATATCTTAAACCACCCTAACAACTGTATACTGGGGGCGATTTAGGCTAAACAACTCCTCTTTATCTTTGACATGATACTTGTTAGTGAACTCCAGGATTATTGGAATTCACACTCGTCGTACACAGTTACAGATAATTTGACTTAGATTGGACCACATTGGCGTTCATATTAAAAGAACCCACTCTACATATGATTAGGCAAACTAAATCAACGGTAATCCGCACAAACAAATACAGCAGTAGTAAATAATGAAGGTATTTTTCTTGAGAAAGGAATCCAATGATTCACTGTTAGGGATTCAACCATTTTTGTACACATGTAATTGCTTTACTAACTTGAGAATCTTCTGCCATTTAAGGTGTTTCAAAATTTTCTTCGTACCCAAGAAAACTTTCAGAGTACAAAGTCTTGACTCCCAAGAAAACGCTGCCAGTGCAGTTAATGATAAACAACCGTAAAGAACAAACAAAGTAATCAAGCTACCATTCAGGGTCCCCTCCACCCAAGGCTTTGGCGCAGCTTTAACAGCTGGTTTTCGTAAAGTTGCCTTGCTTAAAACGTCTTCTAAGAGAAGTCTGTTGTAAATCCCTGTTTCTAACATGGAACGGTAGTAATGCGGAATTTTCGATGGTCCTGCTTTATTAAAGAAATTTCCGGTTGGAGTCGAGTACAGGGTGTCCTTCCCCTTTTGGAAATTTAACCAGTAATAATATTTTGATAGAAAAATATGCTCATCGTCTAATTCATGGGAGTTTGCCATGAAAGCACTTTTACTAGAACAATCCACAATCTCGGACTCGATAAGGGATTGAACTGCACCCTCCGTCAAATTTTTAATTTTGTCTATTCCTTTCGGAAGTCGACCATGCTTAGGGTTAAGTATACTCAGCAGAATTTGAGTCTGACGAGGCAATATGGCAGATTCAAATTCCTTGCCTAAATTCCTGCTTAACTGATAGTATTCAACAAATAGAAACTCGAGGAATTTCAAGAATACGATGCCAGAGCTTTTTGTTTCGATGTTGGATATTAATTTAAAGCAGTCCACAGAATAGTACGGATTTTCGCTTTGAGTCCTCTGTCCTCTTTCATGCCACAGTTTCAGCAAATGGAAATTGATATTTAGCATATCCTTATGGTTGCCTTCGTTTCCATGTGTTTTCTTTTGTTTAGCATAATTACATAAAAGATCATCCCATTTTTCAAATCTGGCGCCGGGAAGCGGAGAATTTAAGTCTGTTATCATGAGACAACTGTAGCAGTTTGTGAGGAACGTAGAAATCAGTGTCCATACCCAAAGTGTTAGTCGGAAGTAGTATTTACCATCCAGACTTGGCGGAACAGATGAAGTTTCTTCAAAACAAGTAGCGGCAAGGAACAACCATGGAGAGAATGAGGTTTTCCGTGTTGATTTGTATTTAGCAAATATACCCGTGCAGTTCATTCCCACTGTTTCCATTAGGGAGAGCCCAATGGGAAACAGTGTTGGGAAAATGGGAAGGATTCCCCATCACTTTTCTCAAATACGAACCCATTGATTCCCATTCGAAATTTTAGCAGAAAAATTCCACTTCGGCATATATGATATCGGTGAACAGTATCCAGTATGATAATATAATATATGAAAACCATCAAAATTCCCTTTGGATATCTTAAAATAAATCCCAGAACAAAAACAAAATACCGACTATTAAAAATTCAATGTATTTATTTATACAAGAATCCAATTAATAAATTTTATACTATTCTTAATTCTCCCCTACCAAGTTGAGATACTCCTCAACTCTCGTTTCTGAATCATCGGAATTCGAACAACTGAATTCCGGCGACATGATCGTAGAATTTCCAGCCAGACCTGTGAGACGATTCATCTTCTTTCTGGCATCCCCAGGAATATTGTGAAGCTTCTTTTCAAAAGTTAACCACTCAACAGTATTTGGCTTCAGGCCGAAAATTTCCGTTGTGTAATCTATAAAAAACAGTACATTTTCTTTTAGGTTTTTTCATGTTTTTTTTTTAACCATAAAGATCAATAATATGATGAATATCAAGCTCACCCTTTAATGCTTTAAATCGGATAGGGTCGATACATCTTCGAACGTTGTTCCGAATTCAAAATAGTTTTCGTCCTCCCAACATACGACGGCGTGGGTCATGTCACCGCAGGTATATTTCAAAGAATAGAAAATTGACCAGAGCGAGTAATTTAGGCTGACCAAAGAGAAACTAAAAAAGCATGACGAGGAGTGAATTCCAAATATGCCGCTCAGTATTTATCGGGGATACTTGATATATTTCATGCCTTTTCGTCTAAATCCAATATGATTAATTCAGATGGGATATTGAGTTTTGTAATGCAAGTATGTTCCAATCAGATCCCGTTAACGTTAGCAATTCCATTGGGGACCTAGCAGTAATTTTCCTGTATAGAAATTTCCAATTGGATTTTTTACATGAAATGCATATATGCATCACATCTTATTGGAAATATACTGTAATCATAAGGGATCCGTAAGGATCCATCTACTGTTCAGATTCACCAATGGATCCCAAGTCTCAGAAACGCACGGGTAGAGACGGTCGCACCCACTACAGCTAATCCTGCAATTATGCCTAACCACATCGTGGGTTGAAAAGGTTTCAAATAGAACACGAAGTTTAGAAATTTGGGTGAGTAGCAAGTTATGAATTTATAACCAGTGAAACTGGTTATGAGTATGTCCTCATATGTGGACAAGTAAAGCCGTCTGTCATTGGAAATACTGCCTGCATTATGTAATTGTAATAAGCTTGCCATGGATGGGCTGAGCACGGTTGCATTAGCCTTAATAAATATTTGCTGAGCCAAATAGTTGTGAATGGAGGGGCTATTTTTTCCACGACGAAACGGATTACTAAATTTTGGAGGTACGTAAGGAAAAACAGTCCTGTCATCGTATCTAATGTATTCCCAATACTGAGGTGCAGTGGCTTGGTGAAAACTTCTAATGCTTAAAGTTGAGGCTCTGCTACAAACAAGGGTTGAAGGTTGGGGTCTTGTTTCTCCGGACGCGATGCATACATCATACACGACATTACTCTTGTTGACTACAAATAGCACGCCAAAGCTATGTGGAGTTGAAGTGGGGAAGATCCTATTCCGATTATAGGGTTGCATAAAATGTGCTTTTTTTAGTTTTGGCACTAAAAGGGTATACGTGGAACTGATCGATTTGGTGCAATATATTTCGTTAAATTTTGGTGTAAAACAAGAATGATTTTCGTAGTGCACACGCAACCAATTATGTAAGCCCAGGCTTCTAAATGTTCTCGTTCCCAGAAGGATACCGTCTTCATAGGGGTACTGAGCTATTATTAACTTACAATTGGGAAGGTGCAACTGCCATATATTGATTTGTAAAGGGTGGCACTTCTTTTCAGCTATGTGGTATGGGTATTTACCTCGTGCAAGCACGAGGGTAATTGGTACAGGGAACGTGGATTGCAGGTTTCTTGAGGATAAACCACCATGAACAAGATGTACATGACAGCTGGGAAAATTCCCAATCAGTTTGTGGAGTCGAATGTTTTCTTGGTTGTTTTGATAGGTTCCTGCTCGTGCAGACGTAGAGCTATACGCAGCCATAAGTATAAGGCACACGAATTGATTTCGAACATGCTGCATTTCGTTGAAGATGAATATTGTTAAATCGAATTATGATAAGAATGTGTCTGAAATTCTTCTAAGAGGTACTACTTCTGACAAGTATTTTTCTAATGTACGTATTGCTAAACAAAATACACGTACATCCAATTTGTCAACCGTTCAGAAAAGACAAAGCCAATTTATTTGATATAATTACATATATGGGAAATTACTATGCTCGTGCGTCACTATTCCGCCAACTAATGTAAATACATAGTTCTCTATAATCATGAAGACTAAATTTATCCCTATTACATGTAGTCGACCTAGATATTAAGAAGGCTTAGAGTGTTTTTGTTTCAGAAGCCATTCTATGCATAATTAATAAGTTATAATGTAAGCACGCAAAGTTTTATATCTTGTATGCAAAATATAAAAGTGCAGGAATACAAACCATTAATATAAATAAATTATATGTAATACGATTTCACTAATATGTGCCTATATATCTTACAAATATGTCAGTAAGACTAACAAGGGACACTCACGACCTGTCGTTTGAGTCCAGGGTACCCACTATGTTTTTTAGAATCTACTAGGACCCCAGATGAAGGATTCATTCATATTTCCGTGTAAAACTCACATTTGGCGCCATGGCGTGGCGCCAAATTCGCCAAATTTGCATGTTTTTATTTTTGAAACCGCCATAACTTTTGAAAACCTGGACGGATTTTCAAAATTTTTGGCAAAAATCATGACAAGGAGTTCAACTTTCGTATCCAATGAAATTTTTTCCAAAATTATCACTTTTAACTTTTCGCAAAATTTCGTAATTTTCTTATAAACGGGGGTTCGTCGAAAAAATGCTAAAAATATTTCAAAAATTATAAATTTTTTATTTTGATTTTTTTCTAAAAAATTTCGACTTTTGTGATCATTTTAAGCATAAAATTTTGAAAATCCGACATAAACTGCAAAAGTTATGGGGGTTTGAAACTGGTCGGAAATGCAAATTTTGAAGTTTGGCGCCACGCCATGGCGCCAAATATGAGTTTTACACGGAAATATGAATGAATCCTTCATCTGGGGTCCTAGTAGATTCTAAAAAACATAGTGGGTACCCTGGACTCAAACGACAGGTCATGAGTGTCCCTTGTAAGCCAGAAAACTAATTAGCACACCTCAGAAACAGACGTATTCTACATTACCTTACTAATCTCAAGTTGCCCCGTACAAGATTTGTTGATGATAAATACCACACCCACACCTACTTTCTTCCTGAGAACTACGTAAAGTCGGGAGCTAACTTGTTGCAACATTTTCTTCAATCCAGTCCATCTTGACCGTATATTTTATGCAAATAAATATTTCAAATTTGCAGGGACCTTTTCAATCGAACGGCAATGAGAAAGTTATTTTTTAGCAACTGAGCATGTTGACAACGAATTATGTCCGACCCAAAAATTATTTTGTCTGGAGAATGATGAAGAATTTCTTCTTATTTACCAAATTACCTTACAAGTTTTCAAAACTAATGAATAAATGGAATTCATTAGTAAATTTAAATTTCAAAAGCACTTTATTTTCAAGTGCTACGTTGAGATGAATTCTGAACTCTAATTTCGAAAATATTTAGGAACTGTGCTGAATGGTTAAGTACATTTTGGAAATTCAGAGAAAAGTAAATATGAAAAAAAACTGATCACAAATTTTAGTAAATTTAAGCTATCGCTTTCAGACCGGCAACTTTGGTCTTGTCTTGCATTTCCTTTTTCTTCCTCTCAATACTCTTGATGCCGTACGCCTTCAAGACTTCGTTCTGCAATTTGCCCAGATAAATATTTAGGGTCGCAAACGCACTGACAATGAATAATTATACGGTTTATTTATTTGCAATTTCGAAACGACGACTAAATCTTTCGACATGGAATTTCAATTACGCAGAAAACTACTAGAAACTATAAGAATCAAATTTGAAAGTGCTACTAATTTTATGCTTATAAATAAATATTTCCCACACAAAAAAAATGATGGAGGAAAAAATTAATAAAATTTTAGCCTTAAACTAATTTTTGTAACAATTTTGACCCAAAAGTGACAATATTTTCTAGCCATTTTACTCACGGCTAATTAAACTATACACTCTAGCAACAATATTTAGCAGACTTTAACTTATAAAAATTAAAAGTAGTAATTACTTAAATGAGCAAATAACGATACTTTTACAATAATCGAACTTTTCACATTCTAAATAATTTTTATACGATTATTACCGGGGGAGATACTACGCGTTCCTACCGCTTGGGTAATGATTAATTTATCACTGAAACCTAACCTACACAGGCTAAAACCTGGTCAGCCCCCAATGTCAACCCTCTGGAAATAAACATATTACCAAAACAGGATGTAATTAATTTGTTACTATCAGAAAACAGCGTTCAGTGTTACCGCGCGGTAATAATTGGATCACAAAATTATTTAGAGTGTAACCGGTGAAGATGCATAACTGCAACAGTCATTCAATCTGTGACAGTAATAGGCAAATTATGCTGTCGAATAAACGTCCGAAAATTGTCCTTAGTTGGCTCGTCCATCTGTACAAATTAACAAAAATTAAAAAAACGTATTTTTTCATTTTTCAACGCCAAAGAATTTTGAAAAACGGAAATTTATGTACCAGAAATCCTGCAATAACCACACTTCCAATCATACTACATGACAAAAGGGCATCTCGCATCTCGTCCAGCAATCTAAACTCTGCGTAATTGCACCGATGACCAGTAAATTGAAGCGAGGTGGTGGCTAATCCTACAGAGTAAATTAATTTAAATGTTCATCAGTACTATAATTATGAACAATGAACCTTTCTTAAGCTACACCAGGATTGTAGAGCGTGTATGTAATATTAAAAAATCAAGACAAAATTTATGAACTACGGGAAACAACTCGTTAGAAAACCCCAGCGTAACCTGAAAAAAGGTTCGATTTTGTAAAATCCATAACCTCTCCATCCCATCATTCCTCGCAGTACGGCAATGATCAGTAGAGATCCAAACTCCTGATCGGGGTAGTTAATACTCTTGGGCGATGCAAACGTCATATCAAACTCGACTTGCCCCCGGGTCAACTCCCAGTTCCCGAAAGATCGCAAGGTTTCCCCCAAAGGGAGAAAATATTGGTCAAAATCGGAGTAGAATTCCATCAGCATGCACAATTTCAATTCAGTCACGGCCAGAAACATGTTGACCAGCAGGTCGCCAGCTGGTCCATCCCAGTTGTTGCCAATTTCCGGATTATGGGAACAACCCACGTGGAGCGAAGTTATCCCGACGTGACGAGAATTGTAGTTTTCCAACATCATAGCAATGTCGCACTCGGAAGAAGTGTCGATGCTCGTAATGGAAAAATGCGTCAATTTTGGGAGATTGGTGACGTTCAGCGAGTCGTTGATGTTGTACACGTAGCCAGCCTTAAGTTTGAGGTGGGTGAGGTTTGGGAAGCGGAAATTGAGCTGGAAATAAGTAAGTTACGAAATTAGTCATTTCAAAAATTTAGTTTTCATTCAAAAAGTCAGACATCCCGATTTCTAACAGAGGGGTGGTCCATAAATTATGTCACGCTGAAGATGGGGGGGAGGGGTTCCAAGAATCCGTGACAAAGTGTGACATACGGGGAGGGGGGGTTCGGCCGATCCGTGACATAACGTTTTCCAGTCCTAACTTAGCACAAACTTTAACTCACATTTTAATTCTCCGACTACGACCAAACTACAGTTTCGCAATTATTTCGAAATATATGTCCAGCCGAATATCAAACCCTTGATCCAAAGCATCCAAAATTTCAACAAAGTTTTAGATTTTGAGATTTTCAACCAAGATTCTAAATTTTGTTCAAACCTTCAAATAATTTGCACAATATACAATTATTTGGAAATTAAAAAAATTAATGATGCCAAAAAGTCTGCATAATTTCAAAAAAACGTCATAATTTTCCAAAAATTCATTCAACAATTAAAATACGTTGCTAAATCTCCAAAAATTTGCACAATTTAAAAAATTCATCCGAAAGAACCCTATTTTCTATAGTGTCAAAAATCTGTACTAATTGAAGACAACTGCATGATTTAATAAATTACATAAGATTCCCCTGTGAGTTTTGATAGTACACCATATTTACTACGCGATCCTCTTTTTTAGAACATATGTACGTATCTTATTCTTGCAATTGGAAAAATTCAGATTTTCAGGCGTGACGTGACAAGAGGGGGGGGAGGGGTCACGACGAATGTGACAAAGGCGTGACAACAGGGGTGGGGGGGGTCCTAAAAAAAGGGCTTTTTTGCGTGACATAATTTATGGATCTCCCCAGAAGATTTTCAGTCATTTTAGTTCGAATTCATTTCATTTCACTTTATCGGCTTTCATTAATTATTCAAACACGAGAATTTTGAAACCTGTTTAAAAAAAGTGAAGATTTGATTTGCATCTGAAACTCGATAATTTATAGATTTGCAAAGTCATAGATTGGAATTTTTTCTATGAGAAATTAGTTACATAAAAAAAAGAAAAATTCAATCCTTCTTCACGGAAGAAAAATACATAAATTTTGAACCTGCTAACTTTGAAAAACTAAAAATTGAGGACTTGTTAATGCAATAAAATCTTCATTTTAAAATAACACACGGGGATGAACAGGTTTCAAAGTCGCCATTTGGAAGGGGAACAATAAAAATCCGAGCTACTAAAATTTAAATTTTATAAAACCAGCATGTAATGCACCCTTATACTTTAATTGCAAGGATTTTACATACCTCCATGGGGTCATCACTCCACCCAGCATTTTCCAAGGTCAAATTTTCCACCGAGTTTCGACAACTTGCCAGCATTTTCGTCATCTCAGGAATTTGCAATTGAAAACCGGCCATACTAAAATAGTTGTGCCTGAACGTCTTCAGTTTTCCGCATGGGGTCAAGTCCAAGTAGAACATTGCGTCGAGGTAAAAGTCCTCCAGGTTGGGGGCAGAGTTGACCAGGTTTTGGAAAATCGTTGTCACCACGGTCATTAACAAGGAGTTTCTAACTTCAGGCCACATCTCCACGTGGAACACTTTCAGATTTGGGAGGGCTCGAAATTTAGCCATCGTTGGTGGTGGTGGTGCTCGCTTATCGAGACATAATCCGTTTACTTTGATCAAGATCTGAGTCAGGTTTCGGAAATCGTAACTACTCCAAATTTCCTGTAGGGGTTCGAACGCGTTGACATGGAAGAACCTGAGGGTCTCCAACTGGTCAGATATCTGGGGCAAAAGAAGGACGAAGTTGGAGAGTAGATTGGTCAAGTCTGGGGGACATTTACAAATGTCGTAGCAGACACATCTCCTGAATAGTAAGTGTACATTCTTGGCCAGGTCGGTATCCAATGAGGGCAAAAATGAGGTCAAATCTGACTCTGCTGATAAGGTGAACCGACCCTTCTTCCCGAGATAAGTGGCGCCCACGTCGGCCCAAAGGGTGCACACGAGGCGAACTGATTTTAAGGTGGGGACGTCCAAGGAGCAAAAGACTTTGTGCAGGATCTGAAATATTATTTGCACACATAAATTTACTTTAGCTTAATTTTTGTACAGATTATCAAATTATAAGTTATTAACTTATACATAATTGCATTTAAAATGCAGTTGCACGTTACCAAATATGGATAAGCAATTTATCAAGTAATTAATTAATTAATTAAATACCAGAGGATTGAGCAAGGCCTTCGTCGTCACTTCGTGGTCGAGTTCAGCGACGATGTCGAAATTCTCCAATTGGTTGGCCTCAAAATCGACCAACATGTCGTCCTTTTCACAAAATACGATAAAATATTTATTCAGAGATAAATAGTCCATTAGAAATAAATGCTAAGTATTTATTTAATTAGCATCATATCCTTTTCTTCCCAATACAAAAAAATAGCAAAATCCGTTCCCCGTCAGACCTTATTCATTTTCCTCCGGAAATCTCGAGTGGATTTTGACTCAACTTTTTTTAGACACGAAGGAGCCAAGTTACTTTCAAAATTGAGAATTTATTTCAATTCAAATAAAAAAATCGAATGTATTTTCTGTAACTTTAAACTTACAGTCCGTCACCTGTTTAACTTGTGTACAAACTTGTGATCAAATTAAGCTGGCTGCAGGGGTACTTTGAGAAATGGTCGATCCGATTTACACATTATATAAATAAATCGAGCCTAGCTAAATAAGGGGGTGAGGTTACATTTCACACTATCGCATTGAATGTAAGATTATGGTTATGATTTTGAATATGATTATGATTTCATAGCAACATTTAAAAAATTGCATAGCAACACTAAAAAAATTCCTTTGAAGCATTTAAGAAATTTCAAAGCAAATCAAAATTTCCAAAGAACGGTAAACCTAGGACGGGACAACTGCATATCATAATGATTAAGAGGTTGGATTTATGTGCATGAACAATTTAAAATTAATTAGTCCAATCAAAATCAAAAGAAAACACTTCATTCTTACATCTTATAAGTATGTATGCAATTTCAGTTTAAAAAACAGGAAATGCACAAATTTGCACATGTGCAAAATTATCGGGTTAAAAAATTCCGTTGATGGGGGTGGGGGTGGATTTGGGTGGGGGTGGGGGTGGAATTATAAATGCCGGTACAAATACATACAATGTATGTACATATATGTATGTTTCTGAACTGTATATGGAAACGTTGGTTATATTTAGGGTTGCCGCGGGTAACGGGTCGGGTACCCGTTACCCGCATACCCGCACCATACTTGCGGGTACCCGTTCTCTGCGGGTAGCAAGAACTACCCGCACGGGTAACGGGTAGTTCAGTTTTTATTTAATTTTCGACATAAATCAGTTCACAAAGAAAGTTAGTAGAAAGTTAGCCCATTTACCAAGAAAAGCGTAAATTTATTATTTATCGATTTCAAAATTTTCCATTTGCCAGAAGCTAGAGATTATAACTAGCGTGTCTTTTCGATATCCACACAAGCCTTGGGCAGCCCCAAATACTTCTTCTCAGCCCCAAATAATTCTTCAAATATGCCTCACGTCCCGAAAATGCGGAGAAATTATTGTTTCTCAAGCTAATCTCAAACTAATCTGTCTGCTCTCAAATATCAGTAATCATTTAACTTGTATTTGTGTATTATGTAAGTCTGACGAGATCTTAGTTTGTGCTTTGAAAATGAAAAATCTGAATCCGATTGAAAACAAAAATTTTACTTGGAGGCAATTATTAAGTAGCTTCAGCTACTTTATGTGAAGACTTTGTCTGTCTGTCTGTCTGTCTGTCTGTCTGTCTGTCTGTCTGTCCGTCTGTCTGTCTGTCCGTCTGTCTGTCAGCAGGATATCAGGAGAACGGATCGAGATAATCGAAATCGGTTTTCGCCATCATACATAGGACCCCAGGGGGAGGATCCTATCAACTTTTGGGGGCAACCGGACCACACCCCCTTTGGCGACAGGGGGTGTGGTCGGGGCAAAATGAGATTTTTAGTGCAATTTAATCTATAGGTGAAATAGAGTAAAATTATGTGTTCCGGAGTTGTGCCACACCCCCTCGGCGCCAGGGGGTGTGGTTGGGGCAAAATGAGATTTTTAGTGCAATTTAATCTATGGGTAAAATTAGGTGAAATTGAGTGAAATTAAATGAAATTAAGTGAAATTAAGTGAAATTAAGTGCTTCCCCGATTGTGCCACACCCCCTCGGCGCCAGGGGGTGTGGTTGGGGCAAAATGAGATTTTTAGTGCAATTTAATCTATGGGTAAAATTAGGTGAAATTGAGTGAAATTAAATGAAATTAAGTGAAATTAAGTGAAATTAAGTGCTTCCCCGATTGTGCCACACCCCCTCGGCGCCAGGGGGTGTGGTTGGGGCAAAATGAGATTTTTAGTGCAATTTAATCTATGGGTAAAATTAGGTGAAATTGAGTGAAATTAAATGAAATTAAGTGAAATTAAGTGAAATTAAGTGCTTCCCCGATTGTGCCACACCCCCTCGGCCCCAGGGGGTGTGGTTGGGGCAAAATGAGATTTTTAGTGCAATTTATTCTATGGGTAAAATTAAGTGAAATTGAGTGAAATTAAATGAAATTAAGTGAAATTAAGTGAAATTGAGTGTTTCCCCGATTTTGCCGCACCCCTTCGGCGTCAGCGGGTGTGGTTGGGGCAAAATGAGATTTTTAGTGCAATTTAATCTATAGGTGAAATAGAGTAAAATTATGTGTTCCGGAGTTGTGCCACACCCCCTAGGCGCCAGGGGTGTGGTTGGGGCAAAATGAGATTTTTAGTGCAATTTAATCTATAGGTGAAATAGAGTAAAATTATGTGTTCCGGAGTTGTGCCACACCCCCTAGGCGCCAGGGGTGTGGTTGGGGCAAAATGAGATTTTTATAAAAAGTTAATCTATAGATGAAATAGAGTGAAATTAAGTGTTCCCGAGTTGTTCCACACCCCCTCGTCGCCAGGGGGTGTGGTCGGGGCAAAATGAGATTTTTACAAAAAATTAATCTATAGGTGAAATAGAGTGAAATTAAGTGTTCCCGAGTTGTGGTGGGACCGTTTGGGGTGAAGTACGTCTGAAGCTACTTCCGTATGCGCGTTTGCGACGGTTTATTTTTGAATAAAACCGTTTTAAATCATAATTTCAAAAAATCAAACTAAAAATTTAACCTTTTTTCAAGCTACACCAAGATTCTCTAGCGAGTATATCGAAAAGTCAAGCCCAAAACTAGGAATCGCGTGATACTTATCTTTCCGTTAATGGTCACGTTGAACAAACTATTGGCGACAAAGTTTAATTTTTAACTTCATGTTCTGCATATTTTTCTTTCACTGGACGAAAACCATGGTAGACTTTGATCTTTGTCCCCCCAATAGTTTTTTTAAACAGGCCATTCAACGGAAAGATACATAAGTGATAATTCCTAATTTTTGGCTTGGTTTTTTGGCTTCCCTTGATATAATTCTCTAAGAAATCCCGATCAGGCTTGAAAAAGGTTCCATTGAAACTTAATAATTTTAATTTCAGAAATAGCTAATTACATCTAGCAAATTATGATATTCGTTCGTTGCACAGCATTACATATCTCAAACTACTAATCAACCTAAATGAGCAAATAATTGATTAAATAAAAATTTATTCTGAAGGTTGGTTAGTTTTTAACCTAACTTTCATAAAGGGTAGCCGGTAACGGGTACCCGAACGGGTACCCGTGCGGGTACGGGTAGTTGTGTTGCGGGTAGCGGGTCGGGTAACGGGTAGCATTTTCGCTACCCGCGGCAACTCTAGTTATATTGACTTTGTAATTATGAAGTCGAAAGAACACTTCAAACCATCGCAGTGTAAGTTTGAATATGCATATTTTATTTATTTATTAGCTTTCCCGGAACTGCGTCTAATGGATCATGGAAGTTTTGCAGGGAACTCTTCCCCTCCAATATTTCTAATTGTGACAAATTTGATATGGAAATGAACCAACAAGTTGATCGATTCTCGTCGGCCGTGGAAAGTTTGAGAGCGAGGATGGTCAGTGTAAATGTGGCGTTCGAGTGAGTCTGTTAGAATTAATTGGACCATCCCAAGTTAAAATTTTGAAGTGTTGGTCACACAAAGTCTTTCTGAACATTTAACGACACCCATTAATGGATAGAAAATTGTATAGTGTGGGAAAATTCAGAAGCATAATTTAAATAAACCGTCGCAAACGCGCATACGGAAGTAGCTTCAGACGTACTTCACCCCAAACGGTCCCACCACAACTCGGGAACACTTAATTTCACTCTATTTCACCTATAGATTAATTTTTTGTAAAAATCTCATTTTGCCCCGACCACACCCCCTGGCGACGAGGGGGTGTGGAACAACTCGGGAACACTTAATTTCACTCTATTTCATCTATAGATTAATTTTTTATAAAAATCTCATTTTGCCCCAACCACACCCCTGGCGCCTAGGGGGTGTGGCACAACTCCGGAACACATAATTTTACTCTATTTCACCTATAGATTAAATTGCACTAAAAATCTCATTTTGCCCCAACCACACCCCTGGCGCCTAGGGGGTGTGGCACAACTCCGGAACACATAATTTTACTCTATTTCACCTATAGATTAAATTGCACTAAAAATCTCATTTTGCCCCAACCACACCCGCTGACGCCGAAGGGGTGCGGCAAAATCGGGGAAACACTCAATTTCACCTAATTTTACCCATAGATTAAATTGCACTAAAAATCTCATTTTGCCCCAACCACACCCCCTGGCGCCGAGGGGGTGTGGCACAACTCCGGAACACATAATTTTACTCTATTTCACCTATAGATTAAATTGCACTAAAAATCTCATTTTGCCCCGACCACACCCCCTGTCGCCAAAGGGGGTGTGGTCCGGTTGCCCCCAAAAGTTGATAGGATCCTCCCCCTGGGGTCCTATGTATGATGGCGAAAACCGATTTCGATTATCTCGATCCGTTCTCCTGATATCCTGCTGACAGACAGACGGACAGACAGACAGACGGACAGACAGACAGACAGACAGACAGACAGACAGACAGACAAAGTCTTCACATAAAGTAGCTGAAGCTACTTAATAATGAAGTAATAAATAGTGTACATAATTGATCTGATTAATTTGATTAGGTAATTAAGAAATCTTTTTTTTTAATTTCACGATATGTACACATTATTTTACATATGTAGATCACACTATTTCCCATTTTCTAAAGTTAAAAATGAACGAAAGAGTTTTAAGGGTCTTGTGGATGACGCGTTGGCGCGTAATCTCACTCTGCCCTTGTTCAATGCAATTTCTAAAATTGAATCAACTCGATGCGTTCTAGCATAAATGCAACTTTTGATTTTTTTTAATCTAAAGCTAATTTTTGGTTCTACAAACAAGTCAATTTGAAAAAATTAGCAAATTCATTTTTGAGGAAATTTAAAGTGAAAAAATAACAAAGTTCCCCGTCAACATGATTTGACGGAATTTGGGACAAAAAGTGTCGCAGGTTCTCAGAATTTCTCAATTTTTGTAAAAGTTCAACTCTGCACGTATTTAGAGTACATTCTCCTTTAAAACATCTTATGATTTTGATTTGTTA